GAAGGTTATCCCCTCCCGCTCTTGCTGAGGCAGACCCTCTTATGTGGCTTGAAAATCTTTCTTGGACTCTACCCAGAGGATCCCCGAAGGAACCACATCATTTGAAACTCTCAGATAGACAAGCAGCAATGAGAGACCTCTGCAGGGACCCCTTTTGGTTTGCATTAATGAAGAACTGGAGGAGGCTGCCCCTTCCAAATAAAGTACCCCGACGAGATGGGAGGAGGTTTGCCAACAACCCTTATTTAATAATACGTTTATCAGAGATGCTCAAGGATGTATCCTTCATTGCATGGATGCCCCTTCGAAGGGGTGAATTAGAAGAGGGGTTATGCGTGTTAAAGACTTATGGAACTACGCGATTAGAGATTGGTGTTCTCCCTCAGACCTTAAGGATCACTTGAGGTACTGTCACCATCCAAGTGTGTCCCTAAATAAAGTAATTGATATAATCCCCTTGGATTGGATCAGAATCTTAAGAAAAGGTCCTAAGCTTCTCGAGGGTGACTGGGTGGCAATCGGAAACCAAAAAGGATAGTAAGGAACATAATCGAAATTCATAATTCGGAGGAAATTCTCATATCCATCTCAAATGTTCAAGATGATGGAGTTCTCTATCCCAAAGCACAGAATGATATAAGATGGTGTACGACTGACCAACTCTTTCGGATTAGAGTGTTAAAAGTTAAAAAAAAGTGAATTTTCGTTAGTCCAGAAATGCCAATCTCTCACCTCCCCTTTGATCCACAAAACTGGACTTGGTCCTCCTTAGGAAAACAGGGGCATTTTCATCCTAGGACCTTACACACTCTCTCAGTTAAGGCCTCTTACAGAATGCTCCGCCCCAGGGTTAATTTAAAAGATTGCATTGAGGATCGATGGCTTAAGAATCTCAACATCAGTAACGATGAATTGAGAGGGATTAAGTGGTTCCAAACATGTAAAGTTAAGCCATCTAAGGTAGCCTCCTTACAATGGCAAATAGTTAACAAATGTCTGCCTGCGAATGACTGGATTATTGACAAAACTTCGTTAGAGCAAAGAGGTATAGCTCATCCATGGTGTAAGTTTTGTAAATCAGCCTTTCCTTCCAAGCTCATTCCTGAAACAATTGAGCATATTTTCCTCCAACGCCCAGGGTCGGTCTGGCTTTGGAGATGGTGGGATAGGATCTGGAATTAACTGGGTACCACTTTGCCCCGGCCCTGGGAATGGAAAACCCTCCTTTTGGAAACCTGGCTTCCGGGTCAAGGGGATGAATTCACAACTAACCTATTCATAATTGGTAGGAGGGCGATCATTTGGGCAATCTGGACAAGATGGTGTAGCTATGAAATGGAAGGTGCGCGGCTGGATGACCTTGACTTTACTGATACTATTAAACAGCACATTCAAACAGAATTGTCCATTAAATGAGAATATTTAAGAGAGAAAATCCAACATTTATCCTTACAAAATGAGATCTGGCACCACATCAAACAGTTCAACAAAAGTTGGCTTGGGGGAGACCGGGGGGGTGGTTGGGGGAAGTAATGTGGGAAGGTGCACATGACAACTCACAAGAGCCCTTCCAAAGGAAATACCGGTTGGTCTTCAACGACTGGAGTACTGTTGATCTTGCTATTCCCTGATTTCCCTGATTCTGAATTCCCTGATTTCTTCCCCCCTTCGGGTCACTGTTTTGTGCCCTCTGCGTGGTATGGATAGGACAGAGGCAAGAGGTAGGAGTATGGGGTTCTTTCCTCTCAACCTTTTATGGTTAAGATTTTGGTTATGTGCTTGGTATTTAAGACTTTCTGGCGCCCAGATTGGGTGAAGAGGCACAAAGAGGCACAAAGCTAGTTCAGTAGTAATACCCTTGGGGGAAGCTGTCTGATTCGCAGCAGATTTGGTTCACTTGGATCACTTATTTCATTGTAAAAAAAGGCATCATCATCATTAGTATGATCATAGTTTACATAGAATCAGTAGAAGTTCATCATCATCATCATCATCATTATTATCATGATATGAGGGACGCTGAGCCCTGTTCTCAGCAAGTTTGGCTCGGTCACTCCGGGTAGACTGTGAGGACCCCGGCCTCAATCTTCTCATTTGTAATATCAGCCTTGGGCACTGGGCCCTTTAAACCACCAGTACTTGGCCCAGCTATTGATGCCGAGCCTAAATATGCCCTGCACGCCAAGCTTTGCCGAGCCTGGAAGGGGCGGGAACCGGTAGGGGGCATTTTGTGGTTGGCACAGGTACCGCCCCTTGTGCTGGACCTGCGACCAGCAGCTGGTACGAAACGGGGTAGCTGTTTTCACTCGTACATTAGCCCACGCCGGCCACAAGTGAGAAACGGCCAACTAACTTCTGCCAAAAAGAAAAAAAACAACTAAAAAAGGCAAGAAGGGTGCTCTCAGCTCTGTCAGAGGCCCGCCCCTCACGGCGGGCAGAAGGAAGAGCTTTTCTGATGTGCTCCCCGTGAAGACAAAAATATGGCAGAAAATAAAAATAAAAATAAAAATGGCGGTGAACCTCTTTCCACGTTCCAGCAGATGATTCAGTCTCCCCACATGTATCTTTCCATGTTGTAGGGGAGGATTCAGTCAAAAAAGTAAACGAAAAGACAAAAAACATGGAAATGTATCTCTATGCACAAGTCAGACCAATTCTTCTTCCAGAGACAAAGGAAAAAAAAGACTGAAAAGGGCAAAAAGGATTCAAAGCGCTCTCAGCGCTGTCAGAGGCCCGCCTCCCACGGCGGGCAGAAGGAAGAGCTCTGTGGCAACTCTCCAAACGTGAAGGCATGAGACCGAATCCTCCTATGGAACATGGAAAGATACATTTTCGGTTTTTTAGCAGTCCTGTAGTAGTGTAGAGAGACCCAGCCGAGCTGGCCCTTCGTCTGCCCGCCTGCCCGCCGTGAGAGGCGGCGCTCTGGCCACACTGGCAACACTCAAGGGCGTTATCTCACTCCGTTTGGCCGCCAAGTGGCGGGTACGACTTTGTTTTTTTTTTCTTCTTTTTTTTTTCATGCACTTGTCTCGTTTTCATTTTTCATTTTTTGTTTTTTTTTGAAATGGCCTATACTGCGTCTGTGCATTGTTTCCACACGCACGGTCTAAACCAAGGGGACAGACTGCATTCCATTTGCGATTTTCCTTGGGCCCAATGACTTCTTCCTCCATAGCACTACCGGGCCTTCCCCGAAGCCCGGAAAACCCGTAGCGTTAACGCTAAGGGGCCGCGGCCGATGTATGGGCCAAGTACTGGTGGTTTAAAAACAAAAAAAAGAAAAAAAAAAGGACCCCCCCACAAAAAAAAATTGGGCCCTGACATAGACATCGTGACAGTGCAGGCTGTGCATCCACAGTTGGCGGTACATCTGCATGCAATCTTCCGGCTGGCCTGTTCACAGTCTTCCACGGAAATCTCAATATTCTCTACTTCTGCACATAAAATAATCACGGCGCGAAGCTTCAAAAACACCCTCCCCCCCCCCACTCTAAAAAAAACCATAGAATTGAAGCTTCCTGCCAATGCAAAGTGGCCAACTAAATGGCCAACAAATAAATTTAAAAATTTTCTACTGGCCTATGGGCAGCTACCTCCACCAAAAGGAAGACAAGTGACACTAGCAGTCTATATGGACATAGATCAACGATTGACGTTTGTTTGTCACGGAGGGCCGCACGTGATCGAAAACCACAGAGCATAGGTGTTAATCGGTCCGAGCCCCAGATGTAAGCCTTGTAAATTGCTGAAAAGAAGGAAAGGAGAATCTCGGCTTCATCAATGGGCTTAGCGCAGTTGGTACACCCATAAGCAGTTCAATTGCAGATGTGAGTTCGAATCCAGACGGAAACAGGGACGAGGTCCCCCTAGCCAAAACGATAGGATTAAGCTCCCGAATCTGGGTGTCTTTTAAGCAGACATGCAGAAAAGCAGTCCAATCTTGATTTTCTGCACCCCTTCCACAAACAGATCCATATTCAGGCATTCAATCCGATAGGCTTTGCTAGTGGGACCTGGGCCCAGATGAACCAACTGCCTGAATCTTTTACCTACGGCTTTGCTAGTGGGACCGGTCAGTTTCACGATGATATCTCACGGCTGTCACCCTTTCTGAAAAAAAAACAGAGGGAAGAAAAAGAATCCGGGTTCGGGCAGGTCGGAAGGGCGTGCTATACCTTTCTCGGCCTTTTGGCTAAGATCAAGTGTAGTATCTGTTCTGATCAGTTTCATATCTGATCCGTGGTCCATCGGGCCACATTTAAAAAAAAAAAGAAAAAAAGAAGGGCGTGTTCATCCAGCGGCCTAACTCAATTGGTAAGCCATGCAAGTGGCATTCAGGAGATCCTGGGTTCAATCCCCATTAGCCTCATGTACCTTCCGGGGCATGCTTGGCGCCCGCCACCTAGAGATAGACCACTGGAGCCCCCGATCGGCATTGAGCAGAGGCTGCTGATGTTCGTAGGACCACCACCTGAGGGGAGGGGGGGATGCTATTATGCCGACCACCTGCAGGTCTCGTGAACACGGTTCTGGGCCTTCATATACCTGTATGCCTACCTTCTGGTATGCCTACCTTCTGGCTGGTTCCCTGTATGCCAACAATTAATTAGGATTAGTGGTAGGTAGGGGGTATTGTGAGGTGAAATTGAGAGGAGAAAAAAAAAAAGAAAAAAAAAAAGGGCGTGCTCGTTATAGCTGCCTGTGTCTGTCCTGCAAAGTGGTCTATATACGGCTATAGACCTGATCATTGGTCTACATACAGCTTTCGCGACGGCGGCTTTAGTGGGCCGGAATGGCTGTAGGGCTATTATTTGGCTCAAGTACTCACCATATACAGAAAAAGACAAAAATTATGGCGGTGCATCGTTCCATGTTCTAGCGAAAGATTCGTTCTCGTTTTTGCTCATTTTTGGTGAGTAGTGGAGCGAGGCCCTACCTTCCTGTGTGGGTAGGCGTTAAGCTTGGGTAAGGGTTTAGCTGCGGTTATAGGTTCCGCTCTGGGTGTTTAAACTCATGGTTCTGGTTCGGTTTAGGTGCCGTTATTTACAGGGGTCTGGTTATTTACAGGGGTCTGGTTGGGGTGCTGAAACCCTTGGTTAAATTCGCCTAGCTAAGGTATAGTTCTCGCTGTTAGCTGCTGACATCTACTCGGCTTGACACGTGGCGTGGCGTGGGCACGACCACGTGGCGTGACGTGGGGACCACCACGTGATATCAGCTTGAGATTCTGGCGATGGCGGGAAATTCGAAAAAGCGGGAGGCAACTCTGCTCCAGGTGAAGGAAGAGATTGCGGAGACCATGCGGCGAATGCTCGAGGTAATCTCTGTTCAAAAGAAAACAAAAAACGAAGAAAGTATTTAATGATATTATTACTACTTTAAATTTTATTCATATTATTTTTAATTTTATTTTTATTACTAGTAAGACGCCCTTATAGTATTATTTACTAAGCAAAATTTTTAAAATTATCTGAATTTCATTTTGTACCATTTCTCGATTTATGCTGCGTGCTTTCCATTCGCAGTCGCCATTTGCTAATTTACCCTTCTCTGTATCCGTCCTTTTTTTTTTTTTTTTTTTTTTTTTTGGGTATCCGTCCAATTCTAACGGATGTCCGGGAGGACTACATTTTGAATTTTTTTTTTGCTCAAATTTTACACGGACTATGGTATTGCCGATTAAAAAAATGCGAAAAAAAAAACTAAAATACGCATCGATTGCCAAAAAATGGTAAAGATTTTTCGCGTCTCGAGAAATGCGGAAAAAAAAAAAAGAAGGGACGTCCTTCGCTGCGCAACGTCCATTAAAATTGGAAATTGGAATTTGGAACGATACAGAGAGAGAAGGTTATAAATTATAATTAGCAAGAGCAAGGCCCCGAGCAAGGAAGACACGCATAACTCGAGAAATTGTTCTTGCCCCCCCTCTTCCCCCCCCCCNNNNTTTTTTTTTTTTTTTACGAAGAAGACAAGACTAGTAGCATGGCCCCTGCGCAAGGATGACACGTGTCATAAATCGAGAAATGGTCCCATTGTTTCAGTTTTTTTGGGAAAAAAAAAAGAACAAAAAAATGGGACATGTAAGCACGAAAATGGATGAAAAGGACGGCGAATTGTAGCAAAATGCATTTTTCTGGGGATTAATTCTGCTGCATTTCATTTTAAATTTGTACACATTGTGAGAATTATTATTGTGGATTGGAGCCTTTTTGTTTTGCTGATTTTGTCTGTACCTCGGTTGGTTTGGTCCCGTTGTTCGGTCTATCTTATGGGCGTGGCTGTGCTTTCATGTGGGACCAGCGATTCGGGTTTTTGGCATCCTGGTTGGTTGTTTCCCGTTGTTCGGCCCTTTGAGAGGCGGGGCGGTGCCTGTATGTGGGAATCGTCATCCAGGATTGTCTTCTCTTTTTTTCTTGGTTGTCACACTGTGGATCGTCGCGTTTTTATGTCTTGTCCTGGGTGGTCTTGTCCCGTTGTTTGGCCTTTGACGGAGCGGGCGGTGCTTGCATGTGGGACTTGTCATCTGGGATCTGTCTTGTTTTCCTCTGTTCTATTTGTTTCATTTGGCTGTTCCCTTCCTCTCTTCTTTGCCTCTTTGCCTTTTGGCTGTGTGCAAGTGGGTCGATATGACACACGGGGGTGGGGGCAGCCGCCGCTCAACCTACATCCACGTGGGCGGCCTTGTACGCAAGAGTTTCTGAACAGGGGGAGTTGTAAGGAAGAAGATTAAAAACGAATTTAAGATTTTTTTGTTTTTTTGGTTTTTTCGCTTAGGCCTCTGATATCATGTGACAATATATTTTACCTTGCTTGAGGGCAGTGGTTGGTGGTCCCCACCTCCTCAGAGGGGTATCAGTTGTCGGGCAGTCGTTGATGCTTAACCACAGCCGGGGTTAAGGTGGATCACTCACAGTGTAATCAGATCAGTTAGGGGGCTCTGCAGACTGTTGAGGGTTCAGCCTCCTGATGAGTAGGTAGGTGAAACTCCGACGAAACAGTTTGTCACAGCTCCTCCCTCGTTTGTTGTCCTCTTCTCCTTCTCCCTCCCTCTCTGCCTACGGTTTACCGTAGGCAGCTCTGTTTGACTATATATATATATATCGTCAAATAGATCGTCACAAACAGAACTGCCCGGTAAACCGTAGGCAGATATATATATCTATATATAACTATATATCGTCACAAACATATAGATATAAAATTCTTGGACCTTCTTTCTAAACATTGTTACTTTTTTATTCAGTCTTTTAGGTACCTTTTTTTGTTCGTTCGGGATTACTTGCATCTGTTCATTGGCGCTCTGATATCATGTGACAATATATATCATCACATGAATATCAGAGCGCAATATATATATATATACGAAACAGTTTGTCACAGCCCCTCGTTTGTTGTCCTCTTCTCCCTCTCTGCCTACGGTTTACCGGGCAGTTCTATTTGGGCAGTTCTATTTGACGATATATATATATATATATATATATATATATATATATATATATATATATATATATCCCCTTCCCCGCCTCGCACTGGCAGGGGGAAAGGAGGAAAAAAAAAAAAAAGGCTCGTTCCCTGGTCCATATCTGTCTCTTATACACATCTAGATGTGTATAAGAGACAGTATATATATATCCCCTTCCCCGCCTCGCACTGGCAGGGGGAAAGGAGGAAAAAAAAAAAAAAGGCTCGTTCCCTGGTCCATATCTGGTACTGCGAAGGCCTACGGAGCCGGTGCTGCTCCCTTCGATCAGATTGGAGCTTTGTTCGTTCACAAAAAAAAAAAAAAGGGGGGGGGGGAAGGGGTCTGTTTTTCTTTATTTACGTGCGAATAGTTTTTGCCAATGCAAAACTCTCTGATAGGTGAGTTGATTAGAGAAGGTTCCAATTAGCATGGGGGGCAGAGAGAGGGGAAGAGAGAGGGGAGGAGAGGGGAGCGAAGCAAGAAAAAGGAGGAGGAGCAGGTGAGCGAGCCTGAAAACGAGCGCCGTTTTTGCCTTTCAGACTCGTTTTACAAATGCACAGAAAAAAAAACAAAGACAAATTCTTAACAAGATGCGGGTGGGGGTGCGGGGGGGGGGGGGGAGCGGAGGAGCATAGCAAGGGCAGTGGCAAAACAAAGCACCCATTTGCACCAAAAAAGAAAAAGAAAAAAGAAAAAAAGCAAAGATGTTGCATTAGGGCCCAATCCTCGAGGGGGGGAAAGGTGTAAAAAAAAAAAAAGAAGGACGAGGAATCAATGTCATATGTTTATAATCCTCTCGGTCTCTTTTCCCTCCCTCCTCCCTCGAGGGAAAAGTGACCACCTACCTTTTTTTGTGAGGGGCGCAAGAGTCGGCAGAACCCGTTTCCTGGCTAGAATCGAAGGTCGTTTTCCAGCAAAAAAAAAAAAAACAAAAAAAAACAAAAAAAAACGGAATAAGATAAAAACCCTTCGCGTCGACCACGTCCAAACAACGTAGTGAATGCCACGTGTCCACTATGACTACTTATGGGTGATTGCCGCGTGTCCAGACGCCTGACACGTGTCATCCACGTATCATCGGATGGCTGCCACGAGTCGTCGACGTATTGGATGCCTGCCACGTGTCGCCCACGTGCGCAGACACGTGCCAGGTGTTCACTATCTCTAAATAACGGATTGAACGCCACGTGGACAGTATGACTAATGATGGATGAATGCGTGCCTCGTGTCCACTATGGCTAATAGTAATGATGGATAGTGAGGAATAACATGGTTGGAGCAGTGAATCTCGACGCATTGCAGCCAATTAGGAAGTTATGCCTTGTTAGGGTGGATGGACCAACAGGAAGGGGTATTGAATAATGATTGATTGATTGATTGATTGATTGATTGATTGATTGATTGATGGATTGATTGGTGCATGGCACGTGGTCAGGCCACGTGGTGGTCGTGGGAAATAAACGGTGTTGGTGGGAGGCGGGACTAAAAATCGGACGAACGGATGAGGGAGAAAATCAATCTGAAATCGGCCATTGATTGATTGGTTGATTGATTGGTTGATTGATTGATTGATTGATTGGTTGATGAAGAAGAACGGACATGGAGAAAAAGGAGAGTGAAGAATGGAGGAGGGAGATCGACGATGATAGATTGACGGATGAATTGATTGATTGATTGATTGATTGATTGATTGATGAAGAAGAAGAAAGGGGAAGGGAGGAGGGAGGAGGGAGGAGGAAGGAGGGAGAAGGAAGAAGAGGGAGAAGAGAGGAGGTGGAGAAGGAAGATGAGGGAGAAGGAAGAAGAGGGAGAAGGAAGAAGAGGGAGAAGGAAGAAGAGGGAGAAGAGAGGAGGTGGAGAAGGGAGGAGGGAGATGGATAAATGCATCTGCTCCTTCTGCGCACCCACCATAGCCTACAAAAATAACATCGTTATCACTGTGACGAATGAATGAATGAATGTTCAGGATGACGTGGCTGCTCCTCCTACGGATGCTGTCGAGACTGGGCACGGCGGGGTGGTGCTTGGCGATGTTGGCGGCAACCAAAAATTGATGGCGGGCGATAAAGCGAAGGAGGACGATGACGACGTCGTTGCTGCAGCCGTGGAGAGAGACAGAGGAGAGAGAGACAGAGTGAGAGACGAGGAGAGAGAAGAGGGGGGGCAGGGAAGAGAAGAGAGAGAGGATAGAGAGGATAAGCAAGCTGGGTTCGCCGCCATCGCTGCTGTTCCTGCTGCTCCACAGCTAGCACCAGCGGTAGGTAAGATGAAGGATACGATTGAGGATAAGATCGAAGATAAGGTCCAGGGTAAGGTGGAAGATACGAATGAGGACAAGGAGGGTGGTCAGGTGGAAAATAGTACTAGTAAGATGGAGGAGAGGGAGGAGGATAACCTTGAGGATAAGGTCAAGGAGGAGGAGAATAATAAGGAGGAGGATAAGATTGGGGATAAGGCGGAAGATAAGGTGGAAGATATGAAGGAGGAGGACAAGATTGAGGATAAGGTGGAAGACAAAGTGGACGATGATGAGATGGAGGATAAGGAGGAGGATAAGGTTGGGGATAAGATGGAAGAAGAGGATAACCTTGAGGATAAGGTCAAGGAGGAGGAGAATAATAAGGAGGAGGATAAGCTAGAGGATAAGATAGAGCATACGATTGAGGATAAGGTGGAAGATATTAAGGAGGAGAATAAGATTGAGGATAAGATTGAGGATAAGATTGAGGATAAGATTGAGGATAAGATTGAGGATAAGGTGGGAGATAATGTGGACGATGATGAGATGGAGGATAAGGAGGAGGATAAGGTTGGGGATAAGATGGAAGAAGATAAGTTGGAAGAAGATAAGGATAAGGATAAGGCGTTATCAAGAACAGCAGTGAAGCGATTGCAAAAGCGGGAGTTGGTGCGAGAGAAGCACAGGCAGAAGAAGATGGCGGAGAAGGCAAAGAGGCAAGTGTTGAGGGAGAAGAGGCAAGAGGAGTACAAGGCGAAGATGGAGGCCTTGTCACCTGAAGCGAGAGAAGCTTTGAAGATGTCGAAGATGGAGTTGCGCGAACGAAAGAGACAAGAGCGGATCGACTCCCGCGAGAGGCTCCTTCGTGCCCATCAATCTGGGCAGAGAGTGGTGATCGATCTAGAGTTCGCCTCCGACTTGACGCCTAATGAGTTGAAGAGCTTAGCGCAGCAAGTGATGTACTGCTATGCGCTCAACATCCGATCTCCGGCGCCTTGTCAGCTATGGCTGACCGGATGCAAATCTCCGGTTTTTGAGCATTTGCAGAAAATCACGGGATTCGAACACTGGACCCTTTCGAGAGACCAAAGGCCGTACATCGACGTCTTCAAGGAGCGGAAGCTGGAGGATCTAGTGTACTTGACAGCCGATTCCCCGCACACGATCGACGATCTGGATCCCGACAAGGTCTATATAATCGGCGGGATCGTGGATCGGAATAGGTGTAAGCATGCCACACTCAACAAGGCCGTCGAACAGGGAATCGCCACGTGTAAGCTGCCCATCGCGGAGCACATGAAGCTGTCATCCTCTAGGGTTCTGACTGTCAATCAAGTGTTCGACATCCTGTTGAAGTACATGGAGTACAGAGACTGGCGACGAGCGTTGGACACGTGTGTGCCTCTGCGCAAACGCGCGGCAGCAGAGGTAGAGGCGGAGGCGGAGGCGGAGGCGGAGGTAGAGGCGGAGGCGGAGGTGGAGGCGGAGGCGCAGGGGGAGGCGGAGGTAGAGGCGGAGGGAGAGGTAGAGGCGCAGGCTGCTGGAGGAGGAGGTGGTGCTGGATCTGAACCTGCTGGCGATGGCGATCGGGATTGCGACGGGGATCGCGATCGCGATGAGAGGGATGGAGGAGGATCGAGGTGATCGTGCAAGTAGAAGGGGGAGTTGTTGTGGAGGACCGCGGCCCGACAGGAGCTTAGTAGTACAAGACGAAGCTGCTGCGTAGGGAGCAATCGCGTACGGTGATCCGGGTGTGTGGCAGTCCTGACGTGGATGGAGGCAGGGTGGGGGGGGAGGGGGAAAGACAAGATTGTGTGATGATGATGATGAGGAGGAGGAGGAGGAGGAGGAGGGGGAGGTCCTCTTTGTCGGTCTTGTTATTAGAGCTGATGATGATTTGTGTG